AAAAGAGCCTAATTGAGTCGCCCGCAACTCTTTGCCCAGGGATACTAATCCACTTCTTTGTATAAGGAGCTTACCTGGGGCTAAAGCGAGCAATACAACTCCCCTGCGGACGACATGGACCGCACAGCAAGCCTGGGCCACCTTGTGGGAAGCACACAAACATGTCTATGCAACGTGCACACCGGGCCTGTGTGTGGCTTCAAGGCTCCACGACATCATGCCCTGTTTGTGGTGCATGGCCACAGAAAGACATAATTACCATGGCTTCAATACATCATGTACACATGCTGATGTTGCCCAAATCTATTGCAATTGGTTGAGGCATACTTATGAACACTTGGCGCTTTAGGATTGCACCAAACAACAACTCATTTAATACGCTCACATCCGTTTGTTTCTATATATATAAGCGCATATCGATATGTCTACACATGTCTGAAAGAGGCACGGAGTGTTTGTTCGAACAGAAACGCTCCCAACTTCTTAAACCACTAAATTGTACACTCTTTCCGGTTCACACCAACACACGTCTTTAAACACAAATGCGTAAATCAATGAAGAGATACACACTGGCACAGGCACATCGACCAATGAACGAACAATTGCACACAATATGTTGATGTTTGATATATATATATATAGATACAATATACTCAGTTGCCCAAAGCCGACTTTTCAACCTTTTGGTTTGCCCAGGTTGGTCCATTTTTAGTAGAAGTTCCAAAAGCTAACCCTTTTATTTCCAGGTCCTTTGGGCAAGTTAGTGTATATAATATATATATATATATATTTATACATATATATATATATATACATATATATATACACATCAACCATGATGAACAAATACTGTAATTTACAGTGTCTTGTTGCATATCATATTCTACGTGTGGATCAAGGGGGGTGACCATATATATATATATACACATTCACGTGTATGCTTTGTTTCATGAATTTTTCGTTCCGAGACTTCTGTGCGCACTTCCTGAGGCTTTCTCGGCGTGGCCTGGGGGCTCGAGCTGGGCAAAACTGGGAACCCATACAGTAGGTTGCTTCTTTGTTTCCCTTCTTTTGGGGGGTTTTCCTCTACTTGAATGCTATTTGGGTTGGATCTGTAGACTTTAGCTTCTTGGGAAATCAAGGGTTTTCCATCAAGAAGATAAAACCTTTTTGCAGAGCTTCCTTTCAGCGGGGGTTGGTGAAAAACCGTGGGTCTTGCTGGTTCGTGGTGGTTTCCGCGTTTTCTTTTTGCAGATCTTTGGTTAGGGTTCTCTATCGTTCCGCTTTGGGGGGTTGTAAACAGCACCTGTTGGGCACCTTTAGTTTTGGGTGAGGTGATGTTTCAAGGGGAAATATAGGGAGACTTGCATTTTCATTTTCGCTGAACATGGACCAGAAACAAAGCAATGTTTGTTGGTTGGGGCAAAAGATGAGGTAAAGAAAGTATGGTGGATTCCCTTCACCAAGAGCTCACGGGACCAGCGAAATCAGGAGACAGCTACTTTTGGCCCCGTTCGCCATTTGTCGGTTCTGTTCTTTGTACGCGGGTGGCTGGAAAACATGTTGTTTGGGCCGACCAACAGTTGGTTCCCCGGCATTGCAGGAGCACCAAACACGGTGCAATCGGAGATTTGCGCAAGATTGCAGAGATTCACAAGGGTACCCTTGCTCTCTACTTGCCATGTTCTGATGACCCGCTGAGTTGGCAACCGTGAAGCTTTTGGTTGGTAGAGATCTTCGTAGCACCAAGTCGTTTGAATTTAGCTTTCTGTCCTGGCTGTCAACTCAGAAGGTCAACATTTGAGGGACTCTACCTGGCCGCTAGATTGCCAGCCCAAGCGGCAGGAGCCAGCAGGTTTCGAAGGCCGATGATCTCATTCCATTAGAACGATCCCGGGTTTCCCCAACGACAGCAGGGTCTTAAGCAAGCTTTTGCATGGGTTCGGCAGATTGGGTTTCGGGTGGCTAGGTTTGGGGGTTCCCTTAACTTTACTCTGGGGGATTTGGGGACGCTTTGAGAAGCTTGTCAGAGGGAGCTGCTCCAGCGCGTGTCACTTTGGACCAAGAAGTTTGAGGAGGCTCTGAACTCAGGCTACCGACCTGCTCGCACTCTCGCCAGACTCCTCGCAACGTATAGGGCTGCCGTGTGGGCCCACACAAACGGAGGGCAGCTGAACTTGTTGCACACCTACAGGGTGGACTGGGTATCCAATGCCCTCCTGGCATTGAGAGCGAGCCTTGACGCACTCATTTCCAGGAGCAGCTTGCCCATTTCGACACTGTTGGATTGAGCTGGAACTGTCCTCTCACAGTTGAGGACTTGAAGAAGCTGGATGTCTCTTGATCAACTAGGTGTGTGTCCATTGGACCTTTCGTCTCATGAAAAAGACAAAATTCAGGATAGTCTCCAAGTGTTTTCAAACAAGTCAGGCATTTGGAGACATAAGAACGGGAACCCTTGTAAAAGGGGTTCTTAGAATGGTTCGGAAATCCTCTTTGGAGGGAAGGCGGACCCTGTATCTCTCCGCAGTTTTTTTGTGCCGTTTGCTTGCTCAAACACAGGTTTTAGAGCAAAAGGATCTAGATGATGAACCAGTAGGCTGGGAGGGAGTCGATGACTCGTCTAACGAAGAGATCAATAAGTGTATATAAACTTTGCCAGCCGCGGTCCCAAAAAGAGTCCTCTTCCGTGTTTGATGAATATCCCCCCCCCCCCCCCGGAAATCGGCGCCGCTTCCTGTGAGCAACCTTGAAAAGCAGCGCAAAATTTACGTCGCCAATTGTTTTTGTCGGGCCCCCAACAGGGCGATTCCCTTTGTAGTATTGTTCCTTGTTAAGACGACCCTTTTGCACTTGTCACCCAATGGGGGTTCTCGTTCGCTTGGCAGTGTGACACTCTTTCTCCTTTTTTGTTTGATGGGTTCTGTCTCAAAAGTCACATATCCCAACATAGGCAGGCCCCCTTTGATCTGCCACGGGGTCTCCACAATGCCCGGGTGCCATTGAAGCGTGTGGTCTCAGGCCTCCTGCGTGCCCCCAGCCTGCGTGATCAGTGACGCTTCGCTGCAAGTGCTTCGATGATCTTTGTGCTGGATCGCCCATGCAACCCAAGCCTGGAGGTTTGAATCGCCCTGTGCCAATCTCTCAAGGAGCAAGGCTTTGGTGTTTTAAGCAGTTTGTGTGGAATCCCGAAAAGAGGAAGGTACACGGTGGGTCGTTCAGAGCCCCAGGCTTCCTTAGGAAGATTCCCCCCCCCAGCGGGGGTACGTACTTATTTGTTTGGTGGGGGTGCCCACGAGGGGTTTGGTTTGCGAGCCCTAAAACCCAACATACCAAGCAACCATCCAAGTGTTTGGTTGGCCACGCCAAGACAAAGAACTCAGCTGGTGCGGAGGGCCCAAGGCTGAGGGCATCCGAGGTTGAAGGCGTTCCTATTTGGGTGTGTCTTTTTCTGGTGAACCCCCGAAAAAGCTGGGGTTTCCTTTTGGTTTCCCGCCAAAACCGTACCCTCGAAAACTGCCAGACCCATTTCATCCGCTGGCAAACATGTGTTTGATTAGTATTTAGCGCTGTAGTGCAAAATGCCTTAAGGAAGGACAACACCCATGTGGCGGTGAGAAAGCGAGTTGCGAACTCAAAGGTTCTAGTGGTAGAGTTCGACAAGCTGAGTTTCGGAGATGTTGGCTTTGGGGCCACCCTAATGCCTCCAGAGTATACGGGTCATGTTTACCTTCACTGTCGTTGCCAAGTTTGTAGTGGTTTTGTTCTTGGTTCTACTCATGTTTAGGTTCTGTCCATGTTTTTAGTAGGGGGCGGCAACAAAAACAAACAGTTGTTTGCCAGCCCATACCGTTGGGGCTGTAGAGTTAGCTCCTCACAGTTCGTTGCAAACTCACCTGCAGGTTGCCTTGATGCCTTATTTGGTGTGGTTTGGCCGTGTTTCACCCTGAAAACCCTTCCCCCTGCCCCTGACCAAAGGACAACCCTTGGACAACCACAAAGCAGCCCTGACCAGACCCAACAAAAAAAGCCCAGTATGTCGACCCCCTTCCATATTTCACTTAGGAGGTTGGGCGAACCAAAAGCCAGGCCTTGGTAAGAGCGGGGTTGGGGGCAGAACTCCCAAGTCTTCCCTCTCCATCGCCCCATCCGCTTCTTTGCTTCTTTGTTTCTCGGGGCGGCATTATCTAGAACTTCGACTATGTCGAGCTGAAGGAAGCCTTGGAACCCTTGACCATAGCGACCAAAGACGACACCAGGCAGAAAACAGTGTAAGAACAACTTGCCAAGCAAAGAAAGAACCAAATGAAAGTATGAAACCCAAACTCAACGGCCACAGGGCAACCTGATTAGGTGCTAAGTGAGTGCCATGGTCGCTTCCAGTCTCCACCTTGATGTTCGGAGTCCTCTCAGGTGTGTTCAAGGAGAGTAGGCATCGGGCTTCTATAAGAGACACGTGTCAGTGTTGGGTCCTGCATGGGTTTGCAGGTTGATGGGAATGAGTTTATGGTGGCCGCCTATCGGTTTATTGGGGTGATATTGTCAACTGTGCATGTAGCCCGTAGAGGGCTACATCGCTTATCCCTCACAAGGCTCTGTGTTTACCGAGGAAACCGGTCAAGGTGACACAACAAGACACACGCCTGATGCATTTGAATGTTGCAAGAGCAACATGTTGAAAGCGGAGCGTTGAAACATTGTCATTTGTTCGTCATTCTTATTGCGACCTTTTCCCCGTTGGTTGTGTGGTTGAATTGAGTTGTTGTTGTCTTCAAGTTCTAAACTCACGCGTTTGTTTGTGTGTTTTGTTTTCGGTTACATGTGGCAAAAACTCTTTTGACTCCCGTCCCGCAACCCAGTGATGGGTCCTTGACCGGCCGGCTTCAGCTGCAGCGGATTTCCAGAGTTCGGCATCCCCCAAGCCCCTTTGACCTCTGGAAAGAGCCTCGTGTTCACTTCCACGCTTGCTCGGACAAGGGTATTCTAAGGTTGCAGCGGTTCTGCCAAGACCCTAAGGCCTTCCGTTTCAGTCGCAATCAAATGTGCTAGTACCAGTATCATTTATGAGTTACTCTGGCCGCATTCCCCTCTGAAACCAGGTTCACGGTCATGGCACCTTGCAAAAGGACATGGGGGGACACACTCACACAAATTCCACAACCGAGCGACAAACACCCAAATGGGTGCGACCCCAAATATGTTCCCTTTGGTACCAAGAAGGGCACCCTCACCTCAAGAACAGACGCACCCGAAAGTTTTCCCGAGGTCATTTGCCTGCTCCAGCTCACCGGCGAACTCTCGCGGCGCCGGGCGGTGTGGGCGCTCTACGCCCAGCTGCTGGCCGCGCTGTGGGCGCTGCTCAGCCTGCTGCTGATGCTCAGGCGCGGGCCAACTTATCCAACAACACTTGGCGGCACCCAGGCATCCGGTCCCTTCGGCCCCTTAGCGTTTCTAGTGGTTCCATTTAACCCACCAAAAGTTTTCAACCTTTAGCAGGGGATCTGAAAACGGGCAGCCCAGGTTTGGAGCCCTGGTCAAAACATGACCATGGCCTGGGAATGGGTTTTGTAGGCCCCCGGTTTCCAAGGACTGCCCGGCAGTGGTGGATTCTTCCACTGCTTGTCGCGGCACATGGGCCTTCCCCGCGGGTCAATTCCCACCCCAACCCCGGAGCTCGATCGCGGCTGCGAAAGTAGGGGTACCGGGAGAAGTGAAGGTCTTCGAACGGGCGTCAATGGGAACGGATTGGGGTTTCACCGGTTTTTTGGGCGTCATCAATGGGAACCGATTGGGGTTTCACCGGTTCTTTTGAGAGTCAAGGCGTTGTCTCACTCAATGTTGGCACACACTCCAACAGACCAAAGGACCTGACCGGGCGCCAAGTAGTGTACAACAAGCACTTTTTATATTGGTTTTCCCCCAGCTAAACCGCCAGGCGATGGGGAATTGAATTTTAATACGGCCTCTGTTTAGCTGCCACTTTGTTCAGCTGCCACTCCGCAAAGGCTTTTGCTTCGCTGGCCCAAATGGCCCGTCGATTCCCCGATGGAATCATCCGGTCCCAAGGCTGTGGGAACAAGGTTTTTTTTCCGTTTTTTCCCCACTTCTGTGATACCAGGAATCCTTTTCTTTGAATGGATAATTGGTCGTTTGAAAGCCCATTGGTATCACAGAATTGGGTAACGGTCCGGTTCTTCTGGGGTCGCTTGGCAACGTTGTGCATTCCCCTGCCCTAGCTGTCTGATTTTGCACCAGTGGTTGACAACGGAGGGTGGTCCTTCCAAGCTAGGTTCCAGTTCCTCCAGATGAGCCATGGTCCTTGCTGGCTTCCCATTCATTGTCACTAGTCCTTATGAGGCTGCAATGGCTTCCCTTACTATGGAATCTGTGTATGGTTAGTGGGAGAGTCCATAGTTACCTATCCTAGGTCCCCCCAGTAGTGCCCTTTTTTGGGGGAGGGTTCCTCTACTAAAATCGACTACGGAAAAAGTTGGTGCCCTTATTCTAACCTCTCTACTGGAGGACCTAGTATCTAAACCAGCCTGAACCCACCCTAATCAGGCGTTGGTGCCAGTGAGGCCAGTGTTGTTGGGGAGTCGGCCAACCTGGCCTCGTGCCCTCAAATCCGGAAGTGCCAGGATGTGTCCAGCCCCAAACGCTTTTTGAGTGAGTGGAGTGGGTGAGTGGAGTGACAAAAACAGCCAGCCCAATACCCCCTTTACAACTGCTTTTTCTCCATGTCCAGTATCCCAAATACTGTCCAAGCAGTGGTTGGAGGGTGCCTGTAGGGGGAAGACACTTTGACACGCAGCACCTGTTTTTAGAGGGAACATGTTGAGTTGCAGGTGATCCTTGCGTCAGGTTGTGCCAGAACTGGCGGAATGCAACCTGTCAGAAGGCCGGAGCCCGAAACCCCACGGATCTGTATATGGCTATTGACTTTTTAAGGGAAAACCACCTGTGGAGGACATGAATCCCCAACTACGTGATAACCACCAGTTTTTGGGGACGAATCCCACTCAAATGCCCCAGAACCCAAAGAACAAAAACACCAACTGCAACGCTTGGGGCAAATGCTGAGGTAGACATGCTCCGTGTGGGCTGATTCAAACTTCTCAGTGAGTTGTTTGAAGGACATGGCTGGCCTTTGGTGTGACGAAATCGCTCTGAGACCTTTTGGATTCCTTTTTCCCTTTAAACCTGCAAAAGGTGATCGAGTTCGCACAGGAAGAGCAAACTTTATTCTGCCGGCTGGTGGATACCAGGCCATGTTTGACTGATTCACCCAGTGAGGGCTGCAAAAGATGCTCGGCCAGATAGGGATCAACTGGGTGCCTTCAGCGGAAAGAGGGCCCTATAAGACCTGTGACTCCAGTGCTTCACAGTTCTCAGCATGTGTCGGCCCCACTCATTCTTGGTTTGCTGCGACACTTTAAATTGTTGTTGTTTTTTCATGGTTTGGGTAGGTGTTGTGTTTATTATTATTATTATTATTATTATTATTATTATTATTATTATATTACTAAAACACAAAAAAAAGGTTTTGATTGTGACATCATTGTTCATTTTGGCGTTGGGGGCTGGAGTTCGCGGTAGAGTGTGGAGTTGCGTGGTGGGGTTGTGGGGCCACCCGCCTCACCCCTGGCATTGCCACCCCGCTTGGGGGGGTTGCGCCTCAACTCAGTCGGACATCGTATCACCGTGTTGGCCACAAACCAACTACATATGGGTATGGGTCAAAATTAAGCCACCAGGGGACCGCAGGTTTTGGTCCATGTTTCCACTTACCAGGGTTCCATTTTCGGTACCGATTTTTTGACCCACAGCCATATGAGGGTGTCTTGTTCTTTGCGGTACCTTTGATGACCCAAAAGGGAATACCACCATGTTGGGAATTTTGTAAGGTGGGTCCCCTATTTTCAGACACACCCGCATTATGTGCACAATTAATTCGGAACCATTTGGTGTTTTGTACGCCCTTGCTACATGACAACAGGTGCTGATGTTCATCAATGTTTGATTCAAATGTGGGAGAGCTGCGAAAATGAGCTTTCATGGGGGTGCATAAATGAGGTCCACTCAAAATATCCTTAGGCCGTGTTGGATTGCGGAGCTCCTTTTGAAGGGCCCGTGATAACTACAGTGGAACTGGTCGTGAGCCACGAGCAGCCGGGCCCCGCGAAACAAAATAGATTCCTCCAACTGAGCTGGGGAGGGAGGGAGGGGGGGAGGGGGGGAGGGGGGGGGGGGGGTTCCCCTCAACTTTGGGGAAATCCCATGGAGTCCAGAAATTCCATGGAGTCCCCGGAGGTTTTGTTGAGAGGCCCTAAGAAAAACCACCATCCGCTTCGCAGCTCGGTTTCCCAAAGCCGAGACTTGCGCCTGGCAGGGCTCCCAGGGTGGCTCTTAGCCTGGTGGCTTTCAATTGGCCGGTTTTTCAATTTTGGTTTCCCTGGGATCTTTGGAGCAATCCGGATTGAGCTATCCGGAATTCAATTTTTGGGGTTCAAAAACAAAGTGTAAAGAATCCGGGGCCTGCACATGAACCTTTGGGCGAGCGGATGCAATATTCCTGAATGGTTCCTATCTAATCCGCTTGGTTTATAGTTTATAAGATTGTTTAGCGCTGGCCGGGCTGGTCGCTCCGGAAGTAGTTCGGTCAAGCTTAGCGCGGCTGGCAATCTGCTTCGCAGATCGGCGGTCTCTGTGAACCACTTATAAGCCCAGCACTGCCAACTCCGGAAGTAACATAAAGATACCAGCCAACCTATTGGAAAACCCAGGTGTTTTTTTTTTTTTTTTTTTTTTTTTTTCGGCGCCGTACGCTGAGCGGTAGCGGTTTCCCATGTTGTACCGGTGTCCCAGATGTTGGGATGCGGGTTAGGAAAAGCAGGATCCCGGATCCATGTTGACAACCTGGAAAACTGAGCCACCCCTTTGCCTTGAGCTTCAGGCGGAGAAGAAAGGGGACATCATTTGCCAAGACCAGGCGAGCCCGGACTCATGACGCCGCGCGTGCGGGGGAAAGAGCAAGTGGTTTTGAATTTATGTGGTTTGAAAGCTTTTGCAAACTGTTGGTCCCACTCACTGGACCATTGCATCCCAGACCTTATCAGCCCAACAAACCCCTTATTTGTTTGCCGGTGTGCTAAAGCACGCAGAGGGTATGAAAAACCTGGTTCCCCCTCTCCCCCGCCCCCAAATAAATAAGCCCTTATTTGGCCCTTAATAAACCCTTATTTGCCCTACGAGAAACGGTGCAAAAACGGTGCATTGTTCGAAGCAAGTTCTTTGAGGCAGTGGATTTTGGCAAGTTGTTTGAGGCAAGCCACCACAAACTTGAAGCCTTATGAATTCTGACGAGGGGATCCCTGAGGAGGTTGACTTGGCAAGTAGTTTGAGGAAAGCCAACACGGGACGTGGGGGGGGGGGTGACGCTGGGCTATGATAGTTCGTCGTGTAAATCCGCCCGAGGAGTGGAGCTTAACCTGGGCAGATTGGCAAGACTCTTCGGGGCCGAGCATCGGGCACCGGGCATCGGGCACTTTCTGCGAGCTCACCCTGTTCTCCTGGCCAGGGCGCAACCAACCCTAAACCAGCCCCAAGCGCACGCGAAACTTGGTCAACCCAACCTAAGGCTAAGCAAAGCTCAACAACATTGGACCAAGCCCCACACAAACCTGAGCCAAGCCAGCTCCAAGCCAACAATCCCCGAAACCAACCCCAAATCACTGCAACCCCACCACAGGTTGCAACCAAATGGGGGGGGGGGTAGTCCTTACTAAGTTGGTTGCACACCCCAAACATGTCTGGGGAATGACAGGGGAACCTGAAACATGCGTAGGTTTCCTTTGTCGTTTTTTCCTTTGAATCTCCCCCAAAAGGGGGGGGGGGTAAGGGCCACATACCCACCCAGCCTGTGCCGCGGTTTGCGGCGGGGCTGCTCACTGCAGGTGATGACGGTGCGTGTCTTCTCGGAGCTGGCGTGCTACTTTGAGACGGCCCTGGAGTGCGAGTTGGTGTTCATCATCCTCTGCTGCTACGCGGGGGGGCCCGGGTGGGGCCTTTTCTTAGAGGCTCCCTCTCACCTCACTTCTGGAGTTTTCCACGTTTTTGAGACCATGCGGAGTTTTGTCAACATGGTGGACCGGTGGACCACTGCGTGAGCTGAGGTTGTGACAACCCCCTTGAACAAATTGTACGTAAGCCCAAACGTGGGGGGGAATGAGGCAAGTGGAATCGAAATTTCATCTCGCTGGGATTTGGTATGCAACCTCCATGAAGGAGACAAACACCAACTGATGTGTGATGCTGTTGATGCAATAAGTATTGCACAGCCGACCCTGGCAGGCGAAATGGAAGTTTGCTGGGTTCTCAGCCATGCAAGAAACCTCTTGCGGTCTCGTTTGCCCAAAGCCGACTCTTGACCTTTTGGCTTTAGGTCTAGCTCAGGGCCACATTTGAACCGAAGGGGTGTATGCCATGGAAGACTTAGCCGCTTGTCAAGGGGGCAATGGACAACAAGAGTTTGAAGGTTTCTCACAGGGAGCCGTAGCAGTTGTTGTTTTCGCTGATTGAACATATTCAACGTGGTTGCCAAGGCGAATCGACTGTTCTGAGCTGTTGGTTTACCCTGTTGGTCTTGTTCATTTAGTTGTTCCCTCTTGTCTTACGGCTAGCGGCACAGCATGCCAAATGGGCAAGCAGCCCGAGTCAATCCATTTCCTGAAGATCAACATGGCAGGGATTCCACTGCACAGGTGTTCAACTAGGGTAAAGATAGGCCCAAGTAGAATCGCCCAGTTGATTCCATCCCTCAGAAACTTTGACTTAGTTTTTTGTCCCGCTGCTCCTTTGTTTGTTTTTGCGCAGACGTGCGCAGACGTACCTTAAAAAAGTTGAAGGCCCAACCATGAACAACATCCGCGTTGAAAGCTGGGATGCAAGTCAGAAGTACATAAATCGGGTGTCCCAAGCAGCTCAAGCAACCAAGTCATGTCAACTTCTGCCCTCGGAGGATAAAATCCGCTCGCGTACGGGCACGCCCAGAAACTGGAGAGATCAATAGAAGTTCGTTGGTGCCACCTGTCTGGGTTCCAAGATGGTTTCCACTACCCCCAAACCACCACCAGGAATTGTACTCGAGATAATTTGGGATATACAACCACGCAAAACGCCACTATGTACATATATAGAAATATTATTCACCTGAATTGTCCTGGATGTAGTGGTTTGGGGGTAGTGAACACAATGTATCATGGGGCTTCTCCTTGACTGAAAATGCCCCCCCCCCCCGCTGTTAAGGCCTTGTTTGTGTGTTTCTCACAATAGGAATCCTTTGTCCATTTCAATGCCATCTCACTTCCTGAGTTCCTGGACTTCTTCAACTTGGGCTTGGGCCATTTTGGTGGTACATCAACAGCTTGGACTTTGATTTTTTCCCACTCAGGAAGCGAGCCAACCCAACGAAAAGCGGGAAACACCATTTTGAGAAGCTCCCCGTTTGCCGCTGCACCCAAACCCCCCCGCCCCAAATCCAGGGCCCCGTCGGGCCTTTTCTCGATCTGGAAAGGTCCAATCACTAATTGGTTCGTTCTCGTTTGTTTTTGTACATTTGTGCTTAATTGGTTGCAGTTTGTTTTTCGTCGTTCCTCCCCTGTTACCAGTTGTTTTTGTTCCTTTACCCTTGGTAGGTTGTGTTGGTTTTTGTTCGTTCTTCTACCCTTGGTTTTCCGGTGAATGAGTTTAGCTTGGTAATGTTGACCCTGGGACAAATAAAGCCGTCCTACGGGGAGGTGTTCCCTGCAAAAGTGTTGTCCCCCCACTAAGACACCCTAATCAAGCAGCTTAACTTCATCCAGTCCCATCACTACCCAACAAACTTCAGCCTACTAACTTCTGCAGGGGTTCCAATCCGACCCCCCCCAACCCCAACCCCAACTCCCCCCCAAACTTCACCCCCATCCATCCAACCGCACCCAACTCCACCCCCATCCATCCAACCGCCCGGTTAGCGAACGCTTCAAGCCGTCGGGAAACCGCCGCTGAGTGCTCTCAGTTGCAACCAGTGGCACCAATTATTTGTCCTTTTTTTTTGGGGCTGCCCCACTAAAAATGGTCCAAGCCCAAAAAGGGGTCCCTTTTCTTCCAGGGTCACTGAACAACTGAGTTTAGGGTCGATTCCTACAAATGGGCGTGGGTCAACATACCACCAGGATATGGACCGCAGGTTGTAGTCAGTTTCCATTTACCAGGGCAAGCCATTTTTGGGTTACCAACTATTTTTGACCGGCCAAATAACCATGGGTAACTCTTCCCACTTTTGGTTGAAATATGGGTGTGGCTTAAAATTAAACGATCGGAGGGACAAACCGCAGGTGTAGCCGCAGCCATATCATGTTTCAAAAACCGCTGAGTTCTTCAACGCCTTGGTCTCGCTGCTGGGCTCCGCGCTCGGCGCCTTCGGCGCCCCCCGGCTCCGAAGCAACCAGCCGTTCTGAAGCCCAATATCTTGACCAGGGTCCCGACAGTTGGCCCCTGGAGGAGACCAAAGGAAACCAATACGTTTGCTTGGTCCTTCTGACTTGAGCATCGTTTAGGGCAGGGACCAGCAAAAAAAGCCGGACGGAACCTCCCTTGTACTCTAACAAGGAGTCTTCATGTTGACATATTAGTTGACCTCAAAAAATCAATTGGCAGGATGAATGAGGAGTTGGCAACCACCCAATGGTGAGAAGCAGCTCCCCTCTACGAGTTGCGCCTTAATCCTGGGAGTTTGTACCCCTTAGGACGCGCATCGTTGCATCACAACGTACCCTGCACCGACTTACGATCGGGACTGTCCCCCACTAGCCTTCACTTGCCGCTCAACCCCTGTCTTTAAACCTGCTTTCGGACCCCTCTCAGCCTGTGCCTGACCCTGCTTTCATTTTCCACCCCTAAGGCTCCAGAGTGTTCCTGGGCCCTTCAAACTTTGTTGGTTTCAAAGGCCGCTGAGAAATTGATTCGTTCTAAGGTCCCGAATGGTGCCTGCATTGGAGGGGTCGCGAGCCTTACCTCCATTAAGCTTAAGTCCAGTGGAAAAAAACAACTCATTTCCACGAGTGACAGCTTCCCTTTAAAACCAACCAGGGAAACTAACACATCGGAAATAGGGGAACCCCAACAAAATGGGTGGCTTGCTTTTGGTTTCCCTTTAACCCCAGAAAGGGATACCCTCCTAAAAAGACACAGCGCCGCATCTTCCTTTCAGCGGATGGACGCCAAGGTTGGAATGTCACGATTTGTGGAAGGCACCCTTCCAGTATTCCACGAGGTTGAATCCGGGGTCGAATCAGGTCCAAGTTTAGGGCCTTTTGCCTGACAGGGAATTCCGCCATTTGGAAGGATCCCGAACAATCATTGGACTTGGGTGCTTGGGGTGGCAAGCATTTGAGAGAGACAACTCTCCGGTAGAACTACCCCAAAACGGGGCAACCCCTCTTGCCAACAGGGATATCTAAGGGATGGGCAACCCATGAATTTTCGGCGCTCTCCTCTTTCCACCTTTCGGGCAAAGCCGGGGTCCATTGGGGTGTCTTCCATGCTTTCAAGTGTCCACCCCTCTACTTCCTCCAAAGGAAGCCAGGGGGGAGTTAGGGCAGAGGATGAAACCAACGTCTCAAGCTGTGTTATTTTTTTTGTTTGGTACTCCGGTCTTTCAAAAAACCTAAGAGTACTGGCAATTGTTTGGGGTTGGCTGGAGTTTTGTTTTTTTGAGGGAGGGTCGGTCTATGGACAAAGGGATGATGTTGCCAGTCTCGTATGCCCAGGTCTGGAAGCTGCAGCAGCAGTTGGACTCACGCAAGCCAAAGGACCGGTTCCCCAAGCGGGAGCGCGTTATCTCACGAGGCTGTGGTTCTCAAAACCGTTTTGGATCCCATTTTGATTGGTAGGTGAATCGCCACCCGTTTTAGAACCTATTTTAGTGGTTGGATTGGTTGATGTTCACTGGGGGATCGATTTGGGTGCTGAGCCAAATTCAGGAAACCTGCTTTTGGGGTTTGGACCATGTTTTGTAAATACAGGGTTTGGTCTTGTTCTAGCCCATCTCAGAAAGTGAGTCATAGGGATTTGGACCTTTTGGTTAGGCGAACAAAGGGTGTCGAGCCTCAAAGAACACACACACACACACACGGGGCCAGCATGTACAAAAATGCCACTTGGAGGCAAGATGTAGGAAAGTTCACCAGATGGAGGTATGGGTCGAGGAACACGGACCAGTACGGGTTCGTGTAGCATCCAAGAGGAACCTATTTTGATACCCATCGGGCCAAGCAAAGCAAGGAGGGAATTGGCGTGCCTTATCTTTTGGGCATTTTGCTTGGATGTTTGGACTTTAACTTTAACTTTTTGCCAACTCATGGGTTTCCATTAAACCACTAAGAGTTAAACTTTTAGCAGGGGAGCAGAAAGCAACCGAGTTATGGCTCTGCTAACTCGTCCGATGCTTGTTTCCACTCCCAGACCTTCGGTCTTGCTCTTTCCTCTTGGGCCCTTTTGTTTAGTGTCATATGAGCTGCTGTTTTGCTCATGTTGGTGTCGGCAACTACCGAACATTGGGGCGAAGCTGATTCTTGTCATCGCTGACGTTTGGCCTTTGTGGTTTCAAGCGGTGCCTAGGTTCGCTTAGTTTCGGAAGGATAGTCGAAACATGGCACGCGTGTTTGATTTCACCAGCGGTTGCTTTCTCCAAAAGAACTGCAGGTCTCAGTCTTTGGGGCACCCAGATTCCCAGCGTCAACCAGCTCGGCAATTGAGTTGCTCATGCGCAGTCGAACATTGTAGGTTGGCAACATGCTGGGTGCCGCTTGCTTCTGTAACAGAGGCCCCATGTTTGTCAAAAGAAGTACTAGGGGTACTTAGGAGCATCTGGTGATTTTCCCAGAAGGGATCTTGAAGTCTAAAGACATTTATCGGCATCTAAAGACTCCGCAGTCCAAAACCGACCTCACCTCCTGTGCAGTCCAAGTGTAGCCAAGGCCCCCGAAGCTTAAGCATGTGCTGCCGGGCCTCGCCTTGGCCGACAGGAACCGGTCCAACCGAAGAGGCATCATATGAGTGTGTCTCAAAATAGGGGACCCCCCAAAACTGGTGGGTTTGCTTGCGGCTTCCTTTAGAAGCATCTACAAGGGGCTCCCCATTTTGAGACAGACCCACATATATGTATAATATTATATTAGATAATGTTATATTAGATTAGATTAGAATATATTATATTATACATATATTATATATCATAGATTATAAAAGACACAAGTAAACTATGTATTATATATATAATGGGTCAACAAAATAGTGGGTGAGGTTCCACTTCAAGATTTATGTTGCCAAGCACAGCAGGTTGCAGTCCCCGAAAACTAAAGCTAAAAGTCCTTGGTATGGTGCGGGTCAACATCTTCATCTGAAGCGCAGTAGGATCATCCAGGTCCCGCAGCTAGCTGCCCTTCTCTCCCAACTTTTTGGGGGAGGGTTCCCCTTCTAAAATAGACCACAGGAAAAAATAGAAAACAAAGAAAAAAGGGGGAAAACAAAAAAACAAAAAACAAGGGTACCCTTATTCTACCCTCTCTGCTGGAGGAGCTAGTGATACACCTTGAACATGAAATGATTGAGGTGACACCATCGAATGACCCAAGCCCTCCTTCCCCCAAAGAGCCAAATGGGATTCGGTCACGAAGACTCGAGGTAGTTCCCCAGGCAAGCCTTCAGGCTTTTGAGTCGTTCACGTTCATCCCCTTCCGCTTTCCGTTTGGGATTCTTTCAAAGCCAAAAGGGCGTGTCTTACAATAGGGGTACCCAGAAAACGGTGGGTGTCCTTTTGGTGTCCCTGTAACGCCTACAATTTTGGGGATCCCTGAAAAAAAACACCCAAATGGGTTTCTGAGTTTCTTTCGGGTCAAAGCCGACCCCCAAAGCGACCTCCTAGAACCCCGCTGAGGCAATGGTTCTAGTTCTACCTGGTTCAATTGCGTTGCAATCTCGACCTTCCATATACTTTTTTGGGCTCTTCTTGGCCATTTGAGTAGGTGGTTCTACGACCATGGTTCAATTGGAGTTACAATCACGGCCTTACGCATAATTTTGGGGCTCCTCCTGGAGGTTTCTAAGGCCGCCTGGCCAACTTCCGCAGAGCACCCCTCGCCATGGTATGCCTGATGACGTCATTGCGTGGACGCGGGCTGTGCGATCGGCCCAGAGCTGGCAGCTGGCATTGCAACTGCTGGAGGATGCAGGCGGCGTTGTGGTTGGCACAGGAAAACACCGGGCCCCTAGCTCTAATCAGGCAATCCGTCAACTTGGGTGGTTTGGATTGATTCGGATTCGAACCTCTGGTTCTTGCAGAGGATGAATGGGAGACTGTCCTTAACCACCAAACCACCAACCCAAACCACCAGTTGGAGGGAAACTGATCTTAATCTCACGAAACCTGAGTTTCGTGTGGGACTTTAGCTACTTTAGGGGTTTGGACCAGTCAAGTCCAACTTCAACCCGACTCACTAATTTTTGTGGTGTGGTCAAAAAATATCCGTTTTGTCTACGGCCCATTTCTGAGGGACCTGTCGCACAGAGACTCGCCCCAAGTCTCCAAAGGTTGGGGCGCCGGGAATGTGGACCGAGTCCCACCCGTGGCACCGTAAGGGAATGGCAGCAGGGTACACTCGCCCCATTGGCAAGCGAGAGGAGTGCTCGCACCGACACTCCCAGGCCTTCCCTGCATGTTTTAGCCCGGGTTTGCGACGTTACAGGGCATTCCAGAAGAGTACCAGAAGAGGTGAGATCTCCAAACAGCCCCTTCTCCACATTCAATGTAACAAGTTGCATTTGCACTATGGCGAGCTCACCATTCAGTGAGCTTTCTTTTGGGCGGGTGGTGATGTTCAAATCAGGAGTCGGGATCCATCACAGAATATAATTCCGGGCGCTTCGCCGGGTCAAGGGTGAATTCCAAAGGCAGTTGTTTGAATACGGTTCCACATGCTGGTGTGCAAAAGCACCTGCAATGTTGGTAGGCCGACATGTCGCTGCAAGGGCAGTTGTTTTTCCTTTGCGGGCGAGTTCCACATGTCAGGGCAGGACGCTGTTTCTGGCAGCTCTGGACTCTGGACTGCTTACAACGAAATAGGAAAGCAAGGTCGTCCGTGGGACTGACAATCCATGGGCGTTGGGGGGGGGGGGGGGGGGGCTGCAGTCCGTGGTTTCGGATTTGCGACAACCCCGCTTTCCGCACTTCAGGCCTTGCTATTCGGAACTACTGAGCCCATAGGAAAACTTTCTATGCACCAAAGCATTCTGTTACGTCAGCCCCTGACCTATATTTAGTTTTTACATCACAGAGTATGATCCCGCCCTTGATTCGCCCTTGATTCTGGCCACTATGTCCGGGGACCCCTATTGCGTGACATCCTCCTAAAACGTTGACGTCTAGGGACCCCGCCACTATAAGGCTGGCTGGTGGGAT